TAACTGTGATTATATAAAACCTAACCTAACCTAACCGTGATCCTAATACCATCGTTAAGGAAAACCTACTGGGGAGAGAATACCTTTTAAGAGTGAACACATAACATACATCAAAGGTAAGAACACTCATTATTATACAACAGTGCAATAATTACTTCTGGTAACAATTCCTCCCCTCGGCAACGTCCACACCCCGTTTACCTCACCGTCACTACTCTTGTTTTTCACTACAGGGGAATTCTGTGTTTTTTCCGTTTTGTTTTTTTGCAATTATTTACAGGTGACAACATTCACTTTTTTGTGGTGCGTGAGTTGTACAGACAGACGCAGATACAGACGCAGATACAGACACACACACACACACACACACACACACACACACACACACACACACACACACACACACCATAACACTACCTAGATAATATTCTCAATACTAGTTAATATTACTAACTGAATCCCATTTAAAAAGATTACGTGAAGATTAATCACCCTAACCCAACCCAACCCAACCAAACCTAACCAAACTTAGCTGAAATAATATCATGTCACGTGTCAGTTGATATAATGAGGAAGATATTGTTGAGAAAATAATATTATATACGTACTATGTTTTTTCTATCATCAAAAGGATAATTAATTTGGAGTGTCAAAGGTCAGCTGCCTGTGACATTTGAACAAGAAGAAATCCTCGTGAGGTTACTCTACTTTGAAGTGAAGGAACTTGTTTTGATAATATAACATTATCAGGGCGTAAAATAAGGGCCTTGTGAGTTTTTTTATGAGGCATCATGAGACACATTATGAGACACATTATGAGACGCAGGATAATAGAAACAACCTAACCTAACCTAAACCTAACTTAACCTAACTCTATATGGGTACTTGACCTTACAGTTGAGGAAATAATGTCGGTCGAGTACAGTGCCGGCCACCAGAGGTTTAACATTCATAGTACTGTATCCGCCTTGCCCCTTAATGGCTCTCATCCTTAATGGCTCTCACCCTTAATGGTTATCACCCTTAATGGCTCTCACCCTTAATGGCTCTCACCCTTAATGACTTTCACCCTTAATGACTTTCACCCTTAATGGCTCTCACCCTTGATTTACCTCACCCTTGATGACTCTACCCCTTAATGGCTCTCACCCTTAATGGCTCTCCCCCTTAATGGCTCTCACCCTTAATGGCTCTCCCCCTTAATGGCTCTACCCCTTAATGGCTCTACCCCTTAATGGCTCTCACCCTTAATGGCCCTCACCCTTAATGGCCCTCACCCTTAATGGCCCTCACCCTTAATGGCCCTCACCCTTAATGGCCCTCACCCTTAATGGCTCGTCAGGTTTAAGGGAGCCATTACCACTGATCTTGAGTCAGTCCTGGCGGTCGAAAGCTTTTAAGACTGTTATAAGAATATTTAAATAACTAGAGTATTCCAAAGTCCCTTACGTATACAGTGAAACCTCCATATACCGGTCTTTCCTCTCTATGTTGTTCGTTAAATAGAGGATTCACTGTAACGGACCCTCCATATTCCGGACTTTCCTCTCTATTTTGTTCGTTAAATAGAGGATTGACTGTAACGGACCCTCGATATAACGGACTTTCCTCTCTATATTGTTCGTTAAATAGAGGTTACATTATATACCTAATTACACAAGAAGGTTAAAGTTTATATATAATTTACATGATATAACGTTTAATATAATAATGTCCTATAATAGTTTAATATATTGTTATCATATTGTTATCTCGTGTAGTCTAGCGGCGTTAGGGTGGTCGGGGAGCTGTGTCACGTTGGCTTAAAGAGGACCTTCCACTGGCTGTGTGTTGGGTGAGGGAGTGGGTGGGTGGAAGTAATTGGGTGTAAGTGGGTGAGGTGGGTGAAAGGAGTGGGGGGTGGAGTGAGGTGGGCGAGTGGGTGAGGGAGTGGAGTGAGGTGGTGAGGGATGAGTGAGAATGAGTGGTGAAGTGAGGTGGAGAAGTGGGTGAGGTGAGGTGGGTGAGGTGGGTGGGGGTGGGTGGGGGTGGGTGGGGGTGGGAGTGGGGAGGTGGAGTGGTGGTGGGTGAGACAGGGTGGGGGTGGGGGGTGGGTGAGGGTGGGTGGGGGGGGTGGGTGGGTGAGGGTGCTGGGTGAGGGTGGGAGTGAGGGAGAGTGGGTAAGTGTGAGTGGGTGAGGGTGGGTGGGTGGGGTGGGTGAGGTGGGTGGGGTGGGTGGGGTGGGTGGGGTGGGTGGGGTGGGTGGGGTGGGTGGGGGGGGGTGGGGTGGGGGGGGTGGGTGAGGGGTGGGTGACAGGGGGTGGGTGAGGGGGTGGGTGGGTGAGGGTGGGTGAGGGGGTGGGAGTGGGTAAGTGAGGTAAAGGGTGGATGGGTGACAAGTGAATAATAAATGTAGAAGAATAAATATAAATAATTAATAAAAAAAAAAATAGGCGAAACAAAATAAAACTTAAAAAAAATAATAAAAAAATAAAATAAATAAAAAACGTTTCATAGACTTTATATACAAGGTTGACTTTTTACCTGGGCTGTGTGTTGAGGGATACATTATTAACACAGGTATCTCAAGATAAACAAGTAGGTGTTGGTTTTGGGGTATTGTAGTGTAAGAGGTTGGTGTTGGGGGAGCTGGCAGGTGGTGGTGACCTCTCCCTTCCCTGTGACCTGTTCTGTCCTTCCCCGTGACCTGTTCTGTCCCTCCCTGTGACCTGATGACCCCCTTGACGCGACCTTCCTTTGTGACGTGACATACCCCTTGTGATATGACCCCTGACCCGTGACCTTCCCCTTGTGACCCCCACCTCTGACCGTGACCTCCCCCTGTGACGTAACCCACTGACCCATGACCTCCCCCTGTGACCTAACCCTCTGGCCCCCACCTGTGAAAAACCAAATCCAGTTAATCCTCAGGTAATCCACGGATGGAGGATTTTAACAGAAAGTACAAGAATGACACACCTGTAAATCCTGTATCTCTAATTAACGTGATAAGCAACATTACCCAGGTGAGATTTAACAGTACATGAGCCGATAGTCTGGTACAGATTACGTAGAATACAGGAATTTTGTTGGATAATTTAGAGACAGGATGTAAAGTGTGTAACTGTAAGCGATCGTGAATAAATGTATGATTAATTACTGCATATATTATATTCACTCGTCAACAATGAAACAAATGCCGTCTCCTGTATATTGTTTACCTCACTAACTTGTGTGTGTGTATATATTGGTTAAATTTAGAGTTATATTATTTAGAATTAGGTTAGGTTATTTTGAGTTAGGTTAGGTAAACATTATAATACGTAAACATCAAGTAGACACAAGCTGAGGAAGGGGTTAATCTTCAGGTGGTCCAACACTATATCAAGACTTAAAGACACATGATAGACAAAAAAACTCTTACCGCTTGTGTGTGGTGGCCGCTATCCTAACACCCCCTCCCCCCACGCCCCTCCTCATGCCGTCCTCACAATCACCCCCCACTTTCCACCACCCTAACCCCCTCCTCCTCTACGCCGTCTTCACCCCCCCATGCCGTCCTCACTCTCACCCCCCTCCACACGCCGTCTTCTTCACCCCCAACGCCCTCACCCTCCACCCCCCATGCCGTCCTCACCCCTCACCCCCCCCACGCCACCCTCCACCCCCTCCCCCCCACACACGGGACAGAGGAGCAGTAATGGAGCATATTGCAGCTTTAAACTCCCGCTCTAAGTTTCGTCCCCGCCAACAACAACGACCAGAAATATGAACTTGTTTTTCTGTGGTTCATTTTTTTTTTATCATTGACTTTCTTTTCTCCGTTCCCCAGTTGAGTAACGTTGTGTAAGTGACCTCCTACACACACACACACACACATTACACACCCTTACCTAAAACAGTAAACGAATCCTTGTTGTGGGGGGGGGGGACTATTGTAAACATTCCAATTAGACTAGAGAGATAAACTAGGTCATAAAGGGACATTGGGAGGACATCAACACCCCAAAGTGGACCCCGATAATATAAGCACTATGTCCTAAACCTTCTCTTGAGCTGTAGAAAGTAATTGTGTTTTTTTTTCTTGATTCATGGTATATAAAAAGTACTTTCTGAAGGCATGTAAGTTATTGGGGTGAATAATAGGAATAACTAACTGGTTTGTAGCATTTGATTTTAGTACCAGTCCTTCAAAAACCTCCTCACCCTCCCTTAACCCCCTTCTCACCCTCCCTTATCTCCCTCTCACCCTCCTTATCTCCTCTCACCTCCCTTAACCCCCCTCCTCCTCAACCTTCCCCCCACAAAAAACTGTAAGAATTAAATTGGTGGTGAGGAGAACAATAGGCCTCGACTATCGATATAATAGTCTTGTTTAGGCTTACACTAAGGGACTACCACCACCACCACCAACAACCATCACTACCAACCACTACCACCAACAACCATCACTACCATCCACTACCACTACCACCAACAACCATCACTACCATCCATAACAATCTGCCATTCATATAAACTACTCTCTGTCGGCCACCAAGAATGCGGCGCTACACTGAAAGCCACTGACAGCCACAAAGACACACCTGAAAATTGTTGACTGGAGTGGTGACATAATTCAAACCATGACCGTGATACATGACCTCCCAATCCTCGCTGGGGGACACACACACACAAAAAAAGTTCATTGGTAGTGAGTGAAAATACTCGGAAAGCCAGCCATGGATGACAGCCTCACGCGCCACTGCACCGGGACAGACTAGGGGGCCCAGGGCTGGTGAAAAGGTTTATGAGTGAAAATTGAAAGCTGTATCACACACACACACGTTATCTCTTAGACAATCTCCCGAAGAACTCTCTCATCTCCCTCCCTCTTCCCCACGTAGCCAGAACGAATAGGGATGACTGCTGGTAGGGTCCATGTGGTGCTGTCAAAGAAGCCCCCCCCCCCTAACAATCAGGGCGTCACCGAAGACTCCCACTGTGTTGTCCACCATCAACTAAATGTCACAACTCCGTACCTGTCTTGCTGGTGGTGACGTAAGATGCTCCTCCCTCGACTGTCCTCATCCTCACTCAGGTAACTCCTCGGCCAGGTGAATCTTCGGCCAGGTAACTCTCCAGCCAGGTTACTCTCCGGCCAGGTAACTCGACGACAGATAAACACGTCCTGTAAAATAAATTAATGTCAATAAACAGTGAATAAACTCATTTACAACGTCAATAGAAATGGTAAATCTAGGAAAGAACAAGACAGTGTAAAAAAAAATGTAAATGTAAATGTAAATAACAGGTAAACAACGGCGATTTTATTTATAATATTACTGTTTTTACGTAGACTAGTTGTCAACTTTACGAAATGCTCTACTGTTGTTACGCAATTAAATTTGTTGAAAACTTACTAGCAGAGGTTACGTCAGGTTAGGTCACGTTAGTTAGATTGGGTTGGGTTAGGTCAGGTTAGGTTGGCTTAGGTTAGGTTAGGTTTGGATAGGTTAGGTGAGCTATGGTAAGGAAGGAAGGGTTAGGCTAAGTTTATTTGGTTCAGTCTACCAGGCGGAATTTGGGACGAAAAATTTACGCAAAGAATCCCACAACAAACTAACACACATACATTACGTTACCTGGGACGGATGAAGACTGCCTAGGAGAAATCATCTTGTGTACAGTAATTCCTTCTAAGGAGCAGCACAGGTGAGGAAGGTGAAGGATTACCTCTAAGTAACTAACCGGATATGTGGATTATTTCTTGCTGTTGATCTTTTCTAAACAGTTTCCTCACATCGAGTTGATTTTGACGCCATTGTAACTGATATTAATTCACTTTTAACTGTATTGTTATCGGCACTATAGTAATGCTCATAACATACTTGTAACTGGTAATGGAGTCCTTGTAATCTCAAATAGACACGACCGTCACAACCGACACCTCAGGGTATACTAACGAGCTGTCCAGAGCCAGAACTTGAGACTGTGTGTGTGTGTCGAGGGGTCGGGAAGGAAGGAGTGACGTGTTATTCTCGCTGGTGTTGATTCATTGTCTCCTTCACTTGGTGGTCTTGTTTGTGTTCCCTGTTCGAATTATTTAGTTTCGTTGTGAAATATTAAATAAGTAGTACTGGTGAAGGTAGTGAGGTTATTAATGAATCACTTTGTTGATATTATAGATGCTAGCGATTGTCATTTGTTAACATGGCGGCGGTGGTGGTAAACCCACACTCTGAGTCATGATTCGGAACTGTTTTGTTTTTGTTGGTGTCAGCGAGCCGGTGAGTGTTCTTGTGTGAGGTAGACGGATTCATTTTATGGGTGTTTCAATGCCAATACGGATTCTGTGCTCGTAGTTTTACCAAATTCGACCCCTTTCATGGCCTGATCTATAAAACAACGTGTGTCACTCGCCCACAATAGTAGCCAAAACATTTTTCTGGATAAAAAAAAAGAATTCCAGATACACTCGAGTGTTTGAATTCATGCATATGCAGACACAAGACACAAAAGAACACATACACACACACACACACACACACAATGAAAATACAAAATAAATCCCCTTTTTTGTTGAGTTTACGTAATGCATAGATCATTGTTTACAAATACCAGAGTCGATAAAGTAAAGATACAATGAATTAACAATGTGACTATACGATACAGGAAACATTGTATAAGTCAGTCTTGTTGAACCGGAGGTCGGCGAGGGAAGGACTGTTTCCTGTGTGCCTGGGTGGGGGGAGGCGGGAGTTGGGGGGGGGAAGGGGTGGTACAGGTTGCGTGTGCCATGGTGTCTGAGGAGGGGGAGGGAATATATGGTGGGGGGGGGTGGATGCGAGGGGGTGGTAGGGGGAGGGATGAGGGATTAGGGTGGTGGTGAGGTGAGGGAAGGGTGGTGTAAGGGTTGAGGGTAGGGGTAAGGGAACGGGTAGGAGGAGGGTAGGTAGAGGATAGGAAATGGATGGGAAACTAACAATTACATCCACAAATTAAGGTTTATTGCTTTGGGTAGGGAACTGTGTCAATCTCTTTTTAGGGAGGGGAACAAGAGCACTGTTAATGGGATAGTCTCTATAGAGTATTTGTCTTATTGGCTCACAACATGTCCTGCTGACGGGTGGAAATTTTACAAAGGACTATTGTTTAAACACCCCTCTCTCTCTCTCTCTCTCTCTCTCTCTCTCTCTCTCTCTCTCTCTCTCTCTCTCTCTCTCTCTCCTCTCTCTCTCTCTCTCTCTCCCCGCATTTTTTAGACTGTAGGTAAATTGTATTCATATATTTATTTACCTTTTATGTGGTATGTGTTGTAAAATATGGGTATTAATTTTGATCTGTTATAAGTTAGTGTTAGTGTTAGGTTAGGTTAGGTTAGTATTAGGTTAGATTAGCTTAGGTTATAGTTAGGTAGAATAAACAAGAGTTTCTAATCTTCAGGTGATTCTAAAATTCTTACCTAACCTAACCTAACGTAACCTAACGTAACCTAACGTAACCAAACGTACTACAAACTATATATATATATATATCTATTCCCTTATCGGTAGCACTAAGCCCATAATTTGCACAATATGTTACACAGTTTTACAACACATCTGGCACACACATTCACAAGAGCCATTCAAGGGCCGTCTTTATAGCCACGTTCCTTACTGTACGCTGGGTCTTAAGAGCAACATTTACACACAACACCAACAGGAAATGACAACAAAAGATTTCACTGTCGGGGAAAAACCAGGAAATTCTCTGTATTGTTGGCAACTTTTTGTGGTCTGGTTTCTTTAATGATTTCTTTGTTAAGTGAGATTTGTTTGTGAATGATTTAGGGTAAGTGTGATAAGAGTTAGTTATTAATATTGTCAGAATCACTTAGAGTCTACTGGTAATAAAGTTTTGGGTGTCTGTCTGTCTGTCTGTCTGTCTGTCTGTCTGTCTGTCTGTCTGTCTGTCTGTCTGTCTGTCTGTCTGTCTGTCTCTCTCTCTGTCTATCTGTCTCTAACATTATGGGAGATGTTAAGATGAAATATTTCAAACGTTTCAACATTTTCTCTTTAAGAATATTGGTCAAGAATATAAATCGCTGAGTCATGATGACTGGTCCATAAACCAGGAGACATAAACAGTTACCTGGGAAAGCTTTCACGCCGAGAGCCATTCCTCCACAACACGTTAAATGCCTCAGCTGAGCTCCATTAATGGCGCCTCATACATCATGACATACATACATACATACAACTCCACAGCTGAGAGATATACGTGACACCTTAAGTGGCTTAACACGAGAAAAGTGGCTGTGACTCTTAACCACAACTTAACACTTATGACTGAGACACTTAACAGTACAGTACTTTATTAATACTAACAAGAGTAATTTACGCTGTTGAGAGAGAGAGAGAGAGAGAGAGAGAGAGAGAGAGAGAGAGAGAGAGAGAGAGATGGTAGAAAATTTGAAAATAACTATATCTAAAAAAAAAATTCTTTACTTCCAAAAACAAAAAAAATATCAGAATTAAAATAGAAGACTAAATTAACTAGGCAAAAAAAAATCGAAAATAAGACAAAAATTAACTGATTTTGTTATTAAAAAAAATCGAAAAATACTAATATAAAAAACGAAAAAAATACCACAAAGGAGAAAACAAATCAATTCGAGGAAAGACAAATTTAAATGACTTTTTTTTATCTTTAACAACAAACTTTCGGAACAAAAACGAGAAAAGTTGTTGATTACATTACACAAAGTGACAAACAATAACAACAACAACAAACAAACAAACAAACAAACATATTTACATCCCCTGTACAGTACATACGCTGAAGGAATAATTTGTTTGGTTCTGTCATTGTCTGTCTCTCTGTCTGTCTGTCTGTGAAGAAAGCGTGTCCTAGTGACGCAGTTATGGATTTTACTGATGTTTAATAGGGGGTTAGGTTAGGTTTGGTTAGGTTAGGTTAGCTTAGGTGAGTTTAGTTTTATATGGGAGAAAAGGAGGTCAAAGGTCAAATCTCTCGGTCAAGGTCAAGAACGCAAATGACATTACTAACACACTACGCTAACTTCCACCCTTCAGTACGATATCACAACGCTTTATCAACTATCATATTTACCATTAGCCAACACATTCTCTCTGTCTCTCTCTCTGTCTCTCTGTCTCTCTGTCTCTCTCTCTGTCTCTCTCTCTCTCTCTCTCTCTAGTAGGCTACATCACCACACACTTGAAATCCTTACTACACAAAACCTGACCGGTAACACCAAACACCCACTTTAAAACGAGCGAAAAATTCACCCCATTATGCTTCATCGTCGAGTCTTTACGGGGAAGAGTCTTATAAATTATACAGCGGATATTATGAGGAGAAAAAAAAAAGAGAGCTGATACTGAGGAAGAGACGAGGTAAGTTGTTGAGACAGTTTTTGCTTTAGTTCAGAGACAAAGTGTAATTGTTGTTAGCTGGAGACGTGTGGGGGTAATGGTTGTGTTTACTGAGTTCCTGTTACGAGAGGTGGTGGTGGATGATAGAGGTGGTGGTGGGTGATAGAGGTGGTGGTGGGTGATGGGGTGGTGAGTGGGTGATAAATTAGTGGTGGTGGATGATGATGGGGTAGTGGTGGGTGATAGAGTAGTGGTGGATGATAGAGGTGAGTGGTGGTGTTAATAGAGGTAGTGGTGGATGATAGAGGTAGTGGTGGATGATGGGGGTGGTGGTGGTGGATGATGGGGTAGTGGTGGATGATGGGAGTGAGTCAATTGGGTGATGGGGTAGTGGTGGATGATGGGGAATTAGTGGTGGTGGATGATGGGTGGTGAGGTGGGTGATAGAATTAGTGGTGGTGGATGATAGAGGTAGTGGTGGAGTGATAGAGGTAGTGGTGGTGGATGATAGAGGTAGTGGTGGTGGATGATAGGAGTTAGTGGTGGATGATACAGTGATGGATGATGGAGGTAGTAGTATATTTTATCCACACACACACACACACACACACAAACAGAGAGAGACAAACAGACAGACACACACACACACAAACAGACAGACACACACACACACACACACACCCAAACAGAGAGACACGAGACAGTAGGGTGTAAAGGAGATAGAGAGAACAAAAGAGATAAATATAGTACTTCGGTAATAATTCATAGAGACAACATGTTAGCTGTCAGAGGAACACATCGACTGAACTACATAATTACTGGGGTGCTGTTACAAATAGTCTTCGTTTTATTCAAGGGGCTTCTGTTATTTGTATTTAATTTTTAACAATTTAACCTTTTGAATGATGGTCCCAATGTAGCTATACCGGGAGTTATGTGGTACCAGTGTTGATTTACCGGGAGTTATGTGGTCTATGTGGTGATGTACCGGGAGTTATGTGATCCTAGTGTAGATGTACCGGAAGTTATGTGACTCCAGTGCATCTATACCGGGAGTTACGTGTTCCCAGTACATCTATACCGGGAGTTACGTGTTCCCAGTACATCTATACCGGGAATTACGTGTTCCCAGTACATCTATACCGGGAATTACGTGTTCCCAGTACATCTATACCGGGAGTTACGTGTTCCCAGTACATCTATACCGGGAGTTACGTGTTCCCAGTACATCTATACCGGGAGTTACGTGTTCCCAGTACATCTATACCGGGAGTTACGTGTTCCCAGTACATCTATACCGGGAGTTAAGTGTTCCCAGTGATGCTAGTTGGTCGGTAGTGTCCTCTTGAATGTTTGAAGATGACCTTATAGCGTCTTCCTTCTCCCCTCCGCCATTTGTGTTAGGGAGATGATTTACGTCTTAATATTTCACCTGTACCATCTTGTACAGCCTCCACCTGGCCCCCTACAGTAACATTTAATACTGGTTGGTGGATATTAGAGTGATGACCTTTAACCATGGGTCCACAAGAACTTATAACCCATTCTATGCCAACTTA